GATGAGGACACTCGTCCAGAGTGGGGAGAGGGCTGGCCTGGCCCATGGTCACCTGGACCCGCGACCGAGGGCGAGAGGGAGGGGCATGAAGGAGCGGAGGAGGATGAGGTGAGGGGCACAGGAGCAGGGCCCTCCGTGGGCAAGCAGGTGACAGGCCCGGTGAGGTCCCGCTGGGTGCCCCTTCGGGCTGTGGGGTGCGGACCCCAGCTCCCACCACTGTGGCGGACACCGCAAATATGAGGCTCCGCCCCCTGGACTCTCAGTGCACACGCGAGGCCCAGTGAGTGGGCGGGGCCGCGGAGGCCATGCTCCAGGCCGCAGTCCCCGCACTGGGCTTTACGAGGGTGTGTTCAGGGGCCAGGCGGCAGCGGCGTGAATCCCAGTCTGGCCATCCACCAACCGTGGGACCTCGGGCAAGCTACCTCTGGGCACCTCAGCTCACCCAAACTGTAAAGCGGACTAGTGACGGTCCCCTCCCTACGGTCTCCCGTGAGCACGGTGGGCTCATACAACAGCACCGGGCACGTGTCAGTGCACGCGGGCATCAGCCACTCCCGTGCTCCATGCTGCTCTGTCCGCTAAGCCACCTCCTGGGTCCTCTAAGGCCCGAGCCCCAGGCCCTCCGCACTGGCTCTGGACGCAGGAGCCCCGCAGACCACAACAGCTGCCATCCGCTGCACCCTGGACAGCGGCTTCCAGTTTCACGGTCTCTAACCCTCACCAGGCCCTGGGTGGGCAGGAACCTCACGACCAGTTTCTGGGCACAGCCGGCGAGGCTCAGGGTGCAGGGAGGTGCCGAGTCCCTGCAGCGGATACGCTGAACTGGGGCTGAAACCCTCCTGCCTCGGCTCCCGGCCCCGGCCCGGTGCCCAGCGCTGCGAGCCGGACGTGCAGTCCTGGAGCCTGGGAGGCGTATCTGGATGCCAGGCAGACGGCGGCGGCCTCCTCCCCACCAACTTGTTTCATTTCTCGGGTTTCATTTGTTTTCCCTCTCTCCTCCCCAGCCGGCTACTCACCCACTTTGGATCCAGCGTTCAGGCCCTCCACGTACCCCCTGGAGGGGACGGGTGTCTGTGCAGGGAAGCTCCCTCCCGGGAGTGGGTGGGACCTGAGAACTGTTTGAAAGGCAGCCTGGGTGTGGGCCTGGGTAGGGGCTGGGGAGGGAGGGAAGTGGTGGGGGGAGAGGAGACCCACAGGGAGAGCATGCGGAACAGAGGTGGGCAGTGGACAGGTGGGGGTGAGAGAAGGGTGCCAGGAAGGGAAAGGACAGAGGCGCTAAGGTCGGGCCTCCCAGGGAGGGGCCCCGGCCTCGGGCAGCAGGCTGCTCAGTGTGCATCCTCGCCCAGCGGCTCCAGGGCCTGCTCAGGGGCATCCGGCTCCCAGCTTCGCTCGCCCCGCACAGGGCCTGGCCCTCTATCTACTCGGGTCGGACCGCCGGCCCTTTCTGGGCCTGGTGAGACCCAGGAGATGGCCGGTGGCCACAGCGCTGTGGTTGCGCCTTCAATCCTCCAAACAACCCCCTAGGTGGACAACCAAGGCCGAGGAGAACACTGAGGACGGCCGGAGCTTGTAGCCGCACGACCTTCCAACACCTGCCCCGCACGCCACTCGGAGGAGCCAGCCTGCCACCTGCCCCTCGCTGCGTGCGAGACCCGCGTCATCCAACGGCGGGCTCTGCAGCTGGGGGACCATCCTGGACCCGCGCTGCCAGGCACGCAGCCGCCAAGCACGTGTGGCCGGTGACCGCCTGCACTGCGGCTTGCCACCGGGGGAGCTGGACGGACTGTAGTTACCTTCAATCTGAACTTAAACACCACCTGTGGCTGGACCTCACCTCTGTCCCTCGACTTGTAAGGGGGCGAGGTCCCCCAAGCTCAAGGGGCTCCAGTGCAAAGCCCACCAGGAGTTTTCAGGGTCTTAACGAGCTGACTCTGCAATCAATGTGGAAGAGTAACTACCAACAAGGGCCAAGACCACTTTTTCAAAGAACAAAAGAGTGGTTTCTGTCCTAATACAAAAACATAGAAAACTGAAAGTCTGATGTTGGCAAAGGAACACACAGAGCCTCTACCCTCCAGCGTGGAGCGTCGCAAGGGTCTTTATTCTGTTCAGGGCTGAGTCCAGGCCCCCTACACAGGGCCTGGCATGCAGCAGGTGTTCAATAAATATTTGCCAAGTGAACGAAAGGATCCAAGCACAGGCCCTGTTCACGTAGGAATTAGATGGGATTTCAAGTCAACAGAGAAAGGACAGACTACTCAGTACACCGTCTGCAGACAACCAGCTAATTTACAAAGAACTATAAAAACTACACCCCTCACCTTGTACCGTTCTCCAAACAAAACGCCAGGTTAAAGTCCTAAAGGATATAAAACAAAACTAAGAAAGTCCTGAAGAAAATATTTTAAAACTATATTATGACCTGGGGCGGAGCCTTTTAAAATAAAACATAAAAAAAAAACAAAGTAATAAACAAAGAGAACACTGATGAATTGACTACATATATATAAATGTCGAATCATTATGTTGTATGCCTGAAACTATGTCACATGTCACTTCCACCTCGATAAAAAAAATGCAAAAAAAATTAGTAACTTCTGAGCAACAAAGCATACACAAAGTTAAAAGATATATAATTAAAAACCACTGAACTTTATAAAGGTGAATTTTATGGTCTGTGAATCCTATTTCAGAAGTTTAAAAAAAAAACAAAAACGAAGGCCAGCGACAGACAGGAAGAAAATATTTGCAATTACAAAGGATTAGTATCCACAATATACACAGAACCACCTGTAAATCAAAATGAGAAATAAGAGAAAAATGGGCAAAAAATAGGAACAGGCATTCTGTAGAAGGAAAAACCCAAATGGCCGAAAGACACACATACGGATGCCGCATCTTAGAAGCAGGCAGGGAAATCCAAACTGAAACAACGGAGACACTATTTCTATGCTTTGATTGGGGTGGGAGACAAGGCTGAGTGCTGCCCACCGTGTGAGGAGACGGGCCCTCCAGGTCCAGCTTCGGGCTCGACTTCAATGGATTGCACGCCCACGTGAGCCCCAAACGCCGCCTCCTCCAGCTGTCCCCTTCCCCAGAGACTCGGGAGCGTGCGGGAGGGGCAGGTCCACGGTCACTGTCATGTGGTTGGGGACTGTGAAAACATGGGAGCGAGCGGCCAGACCACCCTGGACAGCCGCACGAGGACCCCACGTAGCAGCACACAGACCAGGTGGCCCGCGGCACCAATGGGAACGGCCTCCAACAGCAAACCGCGTGGCAGCATCACAGCGGGGCAGTGTGTGTGGCCTGGGCCCAGGTAACGTCAACAGGGGCCACGGGGACAGCAGAGAGGCTCGGGCCCAGCTCGCCACACGTCTGGCGCTGCTGAGCATCCTATACACCCGCTCATCTCCAACTCACACCGTGAAGTGGACACTACTGGGCTCAGCGCCACCATGCAGATGAAGCCGCCGTGGCAGAGACCGAGCTGCCCAGGGACACAGACAGGAAGTGCAAGGACCGGGGTCTGCACCTAGGCGGCCTGGCCTGGAGCTGCGCTCTGGACCACACATGCGCAGAAGCCCTAGCTTGAAGGCTTTCAACTTCTACGCAGAGTGGAGAGCGCATTCACGTGTGACGGGTGTAATTAAAAACTAACAGAGCCAGAAAGGATCTACAGAGACCAGGGCTGCTCGGGTGAGGGATGCAGCTTTTTCTGGCCTCCACCCGTCCACCCAGCTGGGACTCCCATGTCAGAACACAACGTCTGCCAGGGACGAGGGAACCTTGGGCACTGGGGGAGCCCCCAGGTCATCCCAGCCTCCCCCAAGAGGGTCCGAGATGATCCGGGAACTGGCTGTGCCTGGAAGCAGGTGGAGGCAGGCTTTCGGGACCGACCTCAGGATGGGCTTGGCGGCTCAAGACCTCCCCGTTCAGCGCGCTGTTCTGGCCACGGACTGCGTGGCAGTGGGACTGGTCCTCACATGCAGATGGAGTCTCAGGAGAGCACCCCTGGCAGATGTGACGGGTCCAAGACTCTTAGTCCTTAGCTGATCGAGGACCAATGACCCCCAGCCCCTAGTGGCTCCTGTGGGACTGCACAGTTCCCCCATACCCGCCCTTCGGGACAGGTCTCTCTGAGTCCCCCAGCCAGCGCTGCCAGTTGCACCAGGGATGGCTCAGAAGTGCCCCCCAAGATTCTCCACCCCTGTCTAGCAGAGGAAGCGGGGAGCAGGGAAGCACAGTGGACAGGCGTCAGTAGCCACCAAGCAGGCTGGCCACATCCCCTCCACGTCCCCCTCCCTGGAGGAGCCAGTGCCAGGCCGGCGTCTGGTGACCCCAAATCCAGAGGCCCTGTGGATGGAAGTGAGGAGAAATCCGAGGTTTAACAACCAGAGCCGCCAGTGTCCTCTCCGAGGGACTGCTCAGCCCGCCTGCCCTTCCACTTGCTATTTTCAGCTGTGCTAAGAATAGTGAGCTTTAAATACCAGCCTCCTGCCCCAGACCTGATCTCAAGGCTGCCCCGACGGCACCTTGCCAGAATGTGGCGTGGCGGCCACGCCACGGACCCAACGTATAATCTCCCAGAGGGCGTAGGGCCTACCAGTGCCCTGCTCCCGGGTGCGGGCCCGAGTCCAGGCTGCACGGACACGGGCACGGACCTGCACCCGGCCC